ATATAGAAAAAATCACCTAATCGTAATAAACGTTAACTAACCGAAAATTAAATACAGGGCTTTATTATAATAACTGAAAAAATGAACCAAAAACAATTAAACAATAGGTAATTAGACGAATCTTTATTGAAAAAGATAAAGGCAATTTACTAGAATCATAAAAATCAAAACCAAAATCAGATTAAAATTTTTTTTATTTAAAACCAGTATTATACAGGGTGTTATTTTAGCAGTTGAGCAAAAACCATAGATACAGGGTCTTTATAAAAAGTTACAAATTATTCAACAACAAGATGGCGGCTAAAAATCTAAAGCATTAATTTTATAGGCAGTTGAAAGTCTAACCAGGACAGAAAGGCATGAATTTCGGCTACAGAGGCACGAAGTTCAAAACAAGATAACAGAATGACAGAGCCACGAAGAAAGAATGCATACGAAGGGTAAGTTGCTAGATTTTTCTGCATTTCAGATCGCGTCGTTTGTACCGATTCAATACACAGTTAAATATGCTGGCTTGATACGGTACCCGTGTTGTGTAGGGGTCTATCTTAAACGATTACCTAAGGATAATCATTGGATTTTTCCTTGCCAACGAAAAAAGGTTTCAGCCACACGCGAAAAACTTAAATCCGCCCGTGAAAGCGAAAGGCCTTCGGGCTATCGAAACGATAAAAATGGCTGTCTTGTGGTTACGGCAAATTCAAAATATAATTGTTCGGTACCATACTCTTAACGCAATTCAAACATCTCGACGGCAGTGTTTCAATCTAAACAGATCCGTTGCGACTTAGGACATAATTGAACGTTATAGGGTCTTTCCTTACAATTAATGGCTCTTTATATTAAAAATATTCAGATTTTATTTTTTCGTAAAATAATTTTTTGCCACTATTTTTTTTCATGAAAGTTCAGTTTGATGTCATTTTTCATAATTTTCCATATACAATTTTTCCATATAAATTTTTTATTAAAGTACAGTTTTAGTAAAGTATAGTTTTGACCTAATTCACATAAATAATTTTTAATAAATAATTTTTCTGTTTTTTATTAAAGTTCAGTTTGACGTTATTTTGCATGGAAAGAGACTCCTCAAATAATCCGGTTCAGGCGTAAGAGTAAATCTTTTTAAAATATAAGACTAAATTTTTATATTTTTAATTTTTCGTAATTTTTCTACTTTCTAATAAAGTACAGTATGATGTATTTTTTCATAATTTTTCCATATGTTTTTTGCTTTTTAGTAAAGTACAGTATTTTTTTCATAATTATTTCATAAAATAATTTTTTCTTAATTTTTCTACTTTTTAGTAAAGTACAGTACAACATACTTAATTTTTAATAATGTTTCTACATTTTAGTAAAGTACAGTTTTGGCGTAATTTCTACATAAAATAATTTTTCTGCTTTTCTATAATAAGTTTTCATAAAATAATTAGTAATTTGCGGCTTGAAACAATTAAAANAATGTTCATCTTTTAAAACTGTTTAGCCATTTTACACTGGTTATTGTAGTGTTTTATTTCGGATTTTAATCGGCGAATTTTTTCAAGATGTTTTTCTAATAATGGCTTGAGAATTTTGGAAGTCGTTTCAATTCTTCTCTGGAATCTATCTCTATCCGCAGCAAAAATTTCCAGTATCTGCGCCGAGCTGCAGTAGATGTAAAAACCACGATGCCTGAAGGCAACGATAAGGCTATCACGTCGTAGATAATGTCTGAAGACAACGATTGCGCAGGCGCTTCTGATGGCGTAACAGCTCAATGCCTGAAGACCTAACGTTAAGATGATGGGAGACGATAACGCCGACAGCTAATAAGACTACTGCTGGAGATTATTGGTAAATTACTGAATTATTCCCATATCATGTAGCTTGTTGATAATGTCACTACAGACGCGATGTTTTGTAGTCAAACCACACTCTTCGATATAATAACGTAAATCATTTACAAGTTCATTTGTGTCGGATGCTAAACATCAAATGAGCTATACCTATAAGGTAGCTATATATGCTATATATATTCAGTTGAACGTGATATAAAACTACCGGCTATCAACCGGCTAACAACGGCTAACAACCGGCTAACAACCGGCTAACAACNTTACAATTACATACAAAATGGATTGATTTTCGATCAGAGTTACACACTTTAAATGAATTGAACATAGATCGTCACGTCATTTGTAGAAATCCCATTAGAATTGAATTGCATGGGTTTTCAGATGCCAGTGAAAGAGCTTATGGGGGATGTATCTATTTACGCTCAGTAGATGGTTATGGCAATGTGTATGTTCGTTTATTGTATGCAAAGGCAAGGGTCAGCCCTGTGAAACCAACCACAATTCCCAGACTTGAATTATGTGGGGCACTAATATTGTCAAGGTTATATCAAAAGGTTGTCCAGTCTTTAAATGTAAGATTCGATCATTGTCAATTTTGGTCAGACTCAACTATTGTCCTCGCTTGGCTTAAAATTGAACCTTCTAAGCTCAAAACCTTTGTGTGCAACCGTGTTTCGGAGATACAAACTAATACACATCCGTATTCATGGCGACACATTTCCGGTTCTAACAATCCTGCAGATTTATTGTCCAGAGGTACCAGTCCCTCCAATTTAAAAAATTCCTCATTGTGGTGGCAAGGGCCTAAGTGGCTCCAGAAGGAAAATTATGATAAAGAATTTGTATCTAATGAAAGGTGTTTACAAGATGATAGTGATCTGCCAGATTTGAGGGTCATTAAACAGTGCCTTATTACGCGCACAGGTGAAGAACCGTTTTCTTTTCAAAATTATTCATGTTGGAATAAACTACGGCGAGAGATTGCATATTGTTTGAGATTTTGTAATAACTGCAAACTTAAAGCCAATGATCGCACATACGGTTCTTTAACTACAAAGGAACTCAATGCTTCGGTTTTAATATTAGTAAAAAGAGCTCAGCTTGAATCATTCCGGGAAGATATTAATTCTTTAGATGCTCAAGGTACAATAAAGCAACGTAGTAAATTATTAAAACTTACACCTTTTTTGCATACTGATAGAACCTTAAGAGTTAAAGGTAGATTGACCAATTCAAATTACTCTTTTGATAAAATAAACCCCTTGATATTGTCGGCTGATCATTACTTGACCAAACTGTTGTTTCGCTATGAACATGGGAAATTATTGCACGCTCGACCGCAGCAATTATTGTCTGCAATACGTGAACGATATTGGATTATATCCGGTCGGAAACTTGCTAGAAAAACTGTCCACGAATGTGTCAAATGCGTCAGAGTAAATCCAAAGCCTTTTGCACCCCCTATGGGAAATTTACCGATTCAACGGGTAACGCCTTCCCCTCCCTTTTATCACACTGGTGTCGATTATGCCGGTCCTCTGTGGTTAGCAAATAGAAAGGGCAGAGGCAGCAAATTATCAAAATGTTATGTATGTATCTTCATTTGTTTTTCCACCAAATGTATACATATAGAACTTGTAACAGAACTGTCCACCGGNGTCAGAGTAAATCCAAAGCCTTTTGCACCCCCTATGGGAAATTTACCGATTCAACGGGTAACGCCTTCCCCTCCCTTTTATCACACTGGTGTCGATTATGCCGGTCCTCTGTGGTTAGCAAATAGAAAGGGCAGAGGCAGCAAATTATCAAAATGTTATGTATGTATCTTCATTTGTTTTTCCACCAAATGTATACATATAGAACTTGTAACAGAACTGTCCACCGGGGCATTTATAATGGCTATGCGTAGGTTCATAGGTCGTCGTGGCAAGCCTGCGCATATGTACTCGGATAACGGAAAGAATTTTGTTGGAGCCAACTCTGACTTAAAAGAATTGGGGAACATGTTAAAACAAAATTCAGATAGCCTATCAGAAATTCTTGCAAACGAAGATGTTAACTGGCACTTTATCCCCCCGTATTCACTCCATTTCGGTGGCTTATGGGAGGCGGCGGTTAGGTCCACCAAGTTTCATTTGAAGAGGGTAGCGGGAAACGCGCACTTGACCTTCGAGGAAATGTACACCCTTTTAGTACAAGTTGAATCCATTTTAAATTCAAGGCCCTTATCCCCTATCAGTGCCAGTCCTATCGACCTCACTCCTCTCACCCCGGCGCATTTTTTAATTGGCTGCCCATTAACGTCATTACCAGATCGGGAGCTGGAAAATGTCCCCACCAATAGGCTGGTAAGATACCAGCGCATCCAACAGACTGTCCAGCACTTTTGGAGCAGATGGAAAAAAGAATACCTCTCAGAATTACATCAACGACAGAAAAACCATCGTGGTCCACAGTTTGTGAATGTTGGAGACCTAGTGCTTCTAAGAGATGAAAATCTGCCACCGTTACGCTGGAGGCTTGGTCGGGTTAAAGAACTTCATCCCGGAGCACACGGAATCGCCAGAGTTATCACCATCCAAACTGCCAATGGTCCTACGAAACGAGCTGCAACACAGGTGTGTCCCCTACCTGACGTTTCAGAAGGAAATCGAGCAAATGAAAGGTGCGGGAGTGCTCAGGGTCATTATACCGAGTGATTAAGTGATATCAAACCAAATTGCTACTTTGACTGTGGTCATAAACCATTGTAGTTAGCTGTAAACCTATTGTTAGTTATTAGTTGAAATGACTGATTCTCCTTTCAAGGCGGGGGGCATGTTGGGTACTTATTTAAATGTAAAAGTCTCTGCGCCCTAGTCAGTGTTGCCCTGATCTAACAAAGGAGAGAACAATTGTAATTTGTTTGACAGTATGGACAGTTGTGCTTCTCATATAAATAGTAATATTTGTCATTCATAATTTATGAAATAAAGTTGTTATTTCAAGTAACAAGAAGCTAATTAAAAGATAAGGAACCCGAATATTATACAGCTCCCATTCTTCAAATACTGTTTTATATCTAGACATCAACCCATTTTTCTCTAGTTGTTTCACTGCGGTTTGAAGTCTGCGGTTGGCTATGTGGTAATTTGTAGGCAGGAGAGGGTGCCCCTCTAACTAAGGCAACCTGACCTCATATTTACCCTCTCCATTCACTATTACTGTCTCACAAAACAACTCTTTTGCTGCTAGGGCTTTTTCAATTTTCGTTTTTCTCTCTGTAGGTTCTTCTATCCCTAACACATCAAGTCGCCACAGTTCTGTTATTGAAGGGTTCGCAAACATCGATATTACAGTCATAGTTGTCGAATTCAGTGTAGGAACTTTACCTTCGACAGTCCAACCAACATAAATTTCATTTGCCACCAGTCCACATTTTAACAGATGTATTTTCCCCGTGTACAAAGACCCAATTACATCTGCTCCCAACAACATCTCAATTGGACCCTGACTTTTGTAATCGGAAACTTCCACGTTAAGTACATTTAGTTCTTGTATCCAAGGTCCATAAAATACTGGTGAAACCTCATTACAAATCTGAGCCTGATCTAGAACTTCAAACGTTTTCCTGTAGTCCCCTTTGGAAATTGTAACATCATAACAATAATGCACTTGTTCCATCTCCGTTCCTCTAAAAAGGCAATGTACAATTTTTTCTGCTCTCTTGGGTTTGAGACTGAGTGACGATACAGTGGACTTCAAAATGTACGAGCGCTGTGAACCTGTGTCAATAAGCGCTCTCACACTTACCATGCCTGATTGACCTTTAACCTTAAAATTTGCAGTTTTTAGAAACACGTAGGAACTTGTTTGATTGGACATCGCCTGATCCCTTTTAACATTATCTTGCTCGCTCGAATTCTCCTTTTGCTGTGGAGATGTTTTCTTTTCAGCTAAACCTAAACACATCAGTGGTACATGCGAATATCCGCAAACAATACATTTCAAGCGAGACCGACATTTTTTAGACATATGCCCTGCCTTTAAACACTTAAAACAAGCTCCTTTTTCTAATACAATACGTTTGCGCTCTTCTAGTGTCATCTTTTGTGCCTTAAAACATTTGTCACTCTCGTGAACACCGGTACAAAATATACATTTGACAACATCGACATTTACTAAACCCGCCGCAGTAAAGGTCGAATTGTTTAACAATTTAGACGCATTTCTTTTACTAGATTGGTTAGCCGTACCGGACCTTGTTTTAAAATTATCAGCTAAACCGAAACCCTCGCTTGCTAAGTCTATCCGTTGTTCATTTTCGACCTCAGCGCGTAGAAAACTTAAAAGGTTTCCAAGCCTAACTTCTAATGGAGAGTCACCTACGGATGCTACTGGTTCATTGTTACCACTACTCGCGCTATTATTTGTTCCTGAACCACGCGAATTAAAAGCCGATCTTTGCCATATTCGTAAAAGTTCTTGTGGCAAACAAGATTCAATCAACGGAAACAAAAGCGCTGCGTACTTGTCTGACGTAATCCCCAACGTGTCCAGCGCCCTTAACTGAGTCTCAATTAAATCGTACAATTTCGACAAATCCTGCTTTTCATTTGATACGGCGTTGTTTAAAACCAATTTTAACAATTCTCGCCCTCTTCATTAACAATTAAATTTGTAGATGGCCAACTTTCGACATTATTATTCAGCCATGCTGGCCCCTCCCACCATTTCGATTCAACTAACTGTTTAGGCGAACACCCTCGAGATGGCAGGTCTGCCGGATTACATGTCCCTGGAATATGATGCCACTGAAGATTCGGTGTTAGCTTGCGTATTTCAATCAC